TAAGGAATACTCACCTGTATAAGCATACACTCGATAGTTTGTCTCCACCATCAGGTAACCTTGTTGATTGGTATCAGTATTGAGACTTGTTACTCCCGACGCCAGGTTAACAGCCAGACGTGAGGGGTAGTATCGCATTGCCTTCCTCTACAACATACAGCAGTGACAGCTGATATACAAATATCTATAGGTTGTTATGGTGTGACATTAACATTCTAAGAACAGCTGTAGAAAGTTTGTGATGGAAATGCATTACCAATTTAATGTTCTGTAAAAGGCTTAAATACATATCCTTACTACCAGTACCATCCATACATCTACAACATGAGACCTAGCAGGTACCTTTCTCTGACAGACAAAATCTCTCAAACATGTACATCAGACCTACCTTTCTCTGATAGACCAGACCAAACTCTCTGAGATGCTGTAGGAACCTCAACTGCTGTTCCGTCATTCCATCTGTTGAGTAATCCTACAAAATCACATAGTACTTGTTGTTTAGTCCTACAGCTATTTACTTATTAATTACTGTAATAGTGACTGGTTGATGGATGGACAGCATTTGAGGAAATACTTGAATCGCATCATAGATATTGTACTTGAAAGCAGGAAATGTCAGTGAGCGTTTAACTTAGGCATGACCAACACTATTCTTACAACTTGTGAGTAGATTGCTTCACCTTATTTATATCTGTCCATCGCGAAAAATATTACTATCATAATGCTGTATAATAATTTAACTACTGAAGAAAGGCATTCTACAGTAATCCCTATAGATACCATTACCTTGCCAAGTGTTGAGAAGCTGAGCTGGAATAGGAAGGACAGGCACTGGGTAAGATCCATCTCACGAGACTGAAACAAAGATAAACCAATGACAGCAAACATCACGATATACCGCCGCAAACTTCAAAATACAGTAGGGTGGGTTATCCCCTAATTCTATGCAAGTTGAGGTTTCACGTGCCCAAACTTGGATGGAATGACAGCATGGAGTTTGAGCTAGTAACTTGGATGGACTGACAGCATGGAGTTTGAGCTAGTAACTGGGATGGAATGACATCATAGAGTTTGAGCTAGTAACTTGGATGGAATGACAGCATGGAGTTTGAGCTAGTAACTTGGATGGAATGACAGCATGGAGTTTTGAGCTAGTAACTTGGATGTATTTTCATGTATATTACTTTATGTGTCTCTTAATGTTTAACCTTTCATGTCTCAATAAAAATTACTATAAGTATACTCACCTAAAAAGTCTCTCTCTATATGTCTTAACATAAGTGTCATTTTAGTCTTTACTCAATTGCCTCTTTAAAGTATCACATTTTGTGTCTCTTTTAATGTCTTACCAACATTGTCTCTTAATAACTTACCTTGTGTATATTATTAGTTATCTCTGGGTTAGGAGGGGTCTACGGGTTTATAGACCCCGTTTGTTTTTTATAGATCCCCAACCGAAGGCGAGGGGTCTATAAAACCAAAGGGGTCTATGAGCAAGTAGACCCCTCCTAACCCAGAAATAACAAACTTGTCACCCTGACAATCTTTGATTACCTTTTTTCTGCAAAGTTATAAGTCACTTTGTGAGTTTGAGTTGTACTTGACTGCTACCAAAATTGCCCCTACCGGACACCTTTTCTGTTTCTATTTTGGACAATACACAACCATCTTTGTAATTAGCACCCTAGCGGCCCCCTCATTGCCTGTTTCGGTGAATTTGCTGTCAATCAAGTAGGCTATTTTATCCTGTGAATGATTGGCGACTTTGAACACCAATATTGTCTCTCAATATCTTACCTTGAGTATATTAATGTCTTACGAGTAGTGTCTCTAATTATCTCACCTTG